GGGGGGGGGGGGGGGGGGGGGGGGGGGTGGGGGGGTTGCGTCGCCGCTAGAGGATGGAGATGCATGTAAACGACATTATGATTGAAATCTTATATGCATTTGCTGAGCATCGCATCTTCACAGCCGCACGGCTTCTCACAGATTCACATCTCTGGACTTTGCAGCGAAGCAATGAAGTGTATATGCTCGATATGTGAACTGGTCCATCATCGCGGCGCCTGTATTCGGAATTTTGGTTCATCCTCCCGATCCTATGGATTTCGAGTGTGCTCATGCCGTTGTTGTTCCGTTACCAAGGTTTAGCAGGTACCTTGGACGAGAGCTACTGGAATGCCAACCAGGTTGTAGTGCTCAGGGTTTATTTCCACCGTTTCATTTTAATGAAACTACAACACAGTAAAGTCAGTGAATGTCAGTGCACGTAGACAACAGGTCACTCGAAACCACTTTGACTAGGGTGCAAAACCGATGCCACCTTTACCCTAAACGCCGCGTGCCGGTCATAATGAGACATGAAGGAACACATTGGGATAGACTAAAACCAGCCAAGTCAGTTGGATGAAATAAGTGTCCATAAAATAGATGAGTCGACCGTTTACTTAATTCCGACCTAAAGTACTGTGGAAGGGAATTACCCTAAAACGTGTCTTACCAACTTTCTCAAACCATAAACCATATCAAACGAACACACAACACTATAGCTACCGTTGTGTCATCATCAGGTTCCGTCTCAAAAAGATTAGTGAGACCATTTGTACTCTAGTAAAAAGAACATTGCATAAGGTGACCGAGCTCTGTATGGGATGGAGAAAACTCCGATGAGAAAACTCATCGGAAAATTATTGGACACCGTATACTACGATCCTTTTGATCCCTTTCATCGGGATAGCAGGAAGACACTGTCAGGGGACTGTCTAAAATTCATTTGCATCCTTTGGTTGCCACGTATAACAAACTCGCATTTGTGGCAGAAGAGTTTAGTAACAACCAAGGAAAAAACGAATAATAATTGCAGACAAGATAGGTGAGAGTTAAATCAGGAGCAGACGAACTATAAGTCAGGAAACATATTTTGCATTAGCTGGCTAAACAAAATCAGTATCGTTTCTCTAAGGAGTAGTTTCCAGTGGTCCGAATGCGTAAGACTATGTTGGATGTTATGTTATCCAAGAAGCCAGCCTCAGGGTTACTCCATCAGCACCCAACTTAGTTCCTCGTCGTCACTCTTCTGGGTATCCAGAAGTTTTTTTAGAAGCAAACGCCTCTATCCGTAATCATAATCAGTTTTTGTTTGGTACTGGTCAAAAGATAATCCCTATCTGATGACGACCAGCAATAAAAATCCTTCGTCGCGTAATGAATTGAAACAGATGGATTACCATTCGGTATAAATCGCTACATATAGCTGTGAATGACTCTTCAAAGAATCCTTTAGAATCGAGCAACACGCCCCACCGGCTCCCGTCCATGAGATTGTCACCAGGCCGAAACGTTGTCTCTTGCGTGGCACATTTGCACTTTCAGCGGACCGTGGATTCAGCATCCAGCTTTATCTTTGGTGGTAGGTGTGTTTGGACTTTACAAGACTTTTTAATACTGGCACTGTGCACGCTGATCGTAAAGATATATATGTTTAACGAATATCTTAAGTAGTCAGGGCGTTATCGTCTCACAAATCATTTCTTTTTGTTGTCGAGGTAAAATATTTCTTTATGGCATACCAAAACCGTTGCTCTTCTACACACATTTCCACTGAAAACATCAGCATAAATGGCCTACAAATGGGATTTCTTTACGGGTGGGGGATGACTTCACTTACTAAGCGGGCAAATAAAGACATTTGGAAAAGTTGCACAGTAAGCCCCACCAAAAGAGTTTTAAAAACCAGTTGACCTTGGGCCAATGAGTGAGAGACCGAGGAACCAATTGCCTCTCAATAAAATTATAGCTATTTTTTTAAAAATTTCTCAGACCTCTTTTGCAGCGGGCTATGCATCCCAATCTAATAAATGGGAAATGATGCGTCGGGCCACATCACCGGAATGTTTCTGGAATGTGAGGAAATTTGTCCGTAAACTGGCTGGTGCAGAAGCTGCAGAGCAGTTTCTTAATACACAGAAAGTGTGAGGATGCTGACATTAGGTTTACTTTCATACGAGGAAAACCCTCCGGAAACAAGTCACTGATTTACTGATTCGCGAGCGGTATCATAGATATTGGATGGAGCGGTTCTGTTCAAAATGCTTGACCATAAAAGTCGTCAGTTGACACTATAGGTGTCTTTGGTATAAAGGTAGTGCAATGTATTAGTTCCATCACTGCTTCTAAAGTTTCAAACAATTTCCGGAAGTCTTCCCTTTGTGAAAGAGTTTATATAGTCTTTTTTACCAGATTATGGTAGTCGTGTGTTAAACCCTGCAATCACACGCATCTTACATGACCGGAATTTCTTACATCACACAGAACTTATTGGACCATCTGAAATAGATTTGTACGTTTCGACTATCCCACTTCTCCCCTCCAGATAACGGCGCCCACTAATGGGAGATGAAATATTTTCTACATGAGGTGCTTGTACCGTCCACTTCAACTCGGTATACTTTTTGGAGTTCTATGGGTTTCTTCACTCACGACGGAATATTTCATTGCATTGATGTCTACACTTCCACCCAATATGCAACTGCGACTGGGAGTTCAGCATGGGCCTCATTCAAAAGAAAAAACAGGTTATATCATCCCTCAGCGAACTGAAAAAGATATGTCTGGAAGAACTAATTTAGGAAGGTGAAACACAAAACAAGAACCTGTTATTGAATAGGATGTTCTGAAAATCTCATGAAGAATACAAAAATACAAAAGAATGGCTAACCCGCAATATTATCCAAATGGAGGAGTAAAGGAACCTCTAATTTACAGTGCAGAAATTTATTCAAAAGATAGCGTGATGCACAGAAAAAAACGAGACAAATACCTGTGTCATGGGCACTTGACAAATACTTCTGTATCAAGTGCATCTAAGCAGGTATCAGTTCATTATTTCTCGATGAACAAACTCTTGGTGAGGTCGTCTATTTATGTTTATTTAATGGGCTGCACACAATTTGGAGCACTAAAGTATTCAAATCTTAATACTCCATGTAGCCATTATTTAGATTTTTGATTACTTTCACGTTTGAATGTATAGAAATCCCAAAGCACTACGTTTCGTTCAACCACTATCAAAGTTGTTTCAGCTTCTGTGCGAAAACCAATGAAAATAAATTTTATCCCAACTCTACCATTGGTCAGTTACTGTTCAATTATTTCACAGATTACTGGAGAGCTCACTATTCATAATCTTCATTATGTTCCTAAGACCTTGAAGGGGTTTACATCTACGTTTTGAGGATTGACTAACAACTGAGTAACTAGCAATATATAAGATATTCGATGGATCCTTCGGTACACCACATCAGCAAAACCCAGTCAATTCAATCACCGTAGCCATCCGTTTATTTTTTGGCCCCGTTTGACTTCATGAAATAGACATAAAACCAAGACTGATCCTCGATCGTAAAATTGGTAAGGAGACATTTTTTATATTCCACTAACCAGATACCCCAGAGACACACAGTATTCGCACTGAATAATACTCTGAACCATTTGTCATTCCACAGCGTGCAATCCACAGCTGATTCACGTTTTTTACGGAAGCCTTCTTATTTTCATTTGTTTTAAACGCCAAAATTTCCGGACCTCCAGAAGATTGGTTAACTTCACATATATTGAAAGATCTAGGTGTCTGGTTATTTAAGGGCATCAACTCACTCGGCTTCGTATTGATGTACTTAGTTTGTGGTTATTCTCTGATGAGTGACTATTCTGTCAAACGGACCTGGTCAGAAACGTACGTATTCCAATGTCCGTTTGAATGTTCACTTGCAAAGCGTCCTTCCTTTCTGGCATTCTCGTACTAACAAGCAGTTCCTACGTCGAATTCTCAATAACATGGATTCAAGTACTGCACTTCAGCTGACTCATATAACTTGGAATGTTGCTTATATCAAGCAAAATATCATCAGTAAGTTCTATTACGGTTCTAGCATGAATTACGATGAACAGCACCGAGTGATTTAAGATCATCGACCATCCGAATGGTCGTCCAGAAAACGCTAATCGGCTGGATCCCTAATTGAATACCGTTGGCACGTAAGTGTTAACGTGTGTGCCGCAGAGAACCTGCCCAAGAATCGGGCTCTTTTGAAATGAAATCCGCATTGCTCCATTTATATATATATATATATAATTATATATAATTATATATATAGTAGGTTAGTTTCATTGTTGAATCGGATGTTGCTTTAAAAAAACCCAGAATATCTAAGTAAATTTATTTGCAGATTTTCAGCTGAGTCGATTTCAAAACTGGGTCATTTAAAACTTCACCTGAAAGTGGTTGGAAACCGAGCATTGTTCCAGCTGCAAATAGGTCCATAATTAGAGCAGAACTCATCAAGTTTCATCGCGTAATGGTTGCATTACAATGTGTTACAATCGACCGCAATAACTTCCGCTGCTGCATTTCATTTAATCCTTCTTAGTGAAGATGCGGTATTTGTTTTACTTGCTCGCAAACAGCAATTTTATTCTATGTAGAACAACTAAATATTTTATGCCTATTCCGCGGATGATTCGTAGGCTGTAGGATATTTTCATGATGGTGCACATAGATAAAAAATTGGCATCGCATTTTGTCGAGCAATTACGTTTTAGTGGATGTTGGTTAATTTTTAACCCTCCGTGAAGGGACCATCCGGCAAAAAATCACATATAGGCAACCATTTATGGTAGATTCCTGGTAGATTGCTACAGTTGACATCAGCCGGTGTCAGTTACGTAGGCTGTATGACATCAACTTCTGTTTTAGCAAGACTGCCTTTTTCTAATCGTCTGAATACCCCACTTCCATGACAATACACATTGCATAACATGATTTTGTTGAAAAAATCCACTAAATACTCCTTGAGAAGGAGTCACGCATAGCAACAAACCATGTACTCGTATATAACAAACACAGACATATGCTGACGGAAACCAAAACATCACTGGTTCAACTTCTGAGAAAAATCAACTTTATCAGTTGGATAGCTTTTCCAAACCACACCTTCACCTCGTGACAAAAAGGAGCTTGGTTGGAAATACAATTGTAATGGTGTATCAAGTATTCTCCAGGTTAGCCCGGTTTCATCCAGTTATCCAGTTTCATTGTGACTCCGCCTAGCAAAATAACTTTTGTTTTCTTGTTTTACGTCATCCTTTTTAATTCCGGTCACGACAGATCTCCAAACAAAACATGTTTTGTAGGACAGTTAACAATAAAACCATCACTGGTTACCAATCGATTATTTACCACATTGGTTGAATAACACTAGTGGCAACAAATTATCACTATCGAATATTTGGCTTGGCAAGTCCAATGTTTTTCTTTGCCTCAGTTAGTCCATTTGTATCAGATACTGAAAAATGCATGCATTACTGACTTTGCAAAATTGGTTGTTTCTACCTTTTATATTGTGAGAAACCTCATTTAATCGATAGATTTGCTTAACAGTAATCTCACTTTTGTTCGCCATAACCACAATTAACCTAATTGATGTCAGCACCAAAAATAGTCTCAATCTATACCAAGTCTAGTATAAACACCTTTACACAAAAACGAATTACCACAAATCAGGAAAATGGCCTGTTTCCCACTCTTCGTCAGATAACCTTGCTGACAGACTCAACAGAGGAACTCTGGCCTGTTAGACTGTGTGGAATATTCTCGATCAGTATATGAGTGTCTTGTCAGTCTAGTCTTCCTAAGGAGATCACCCTTATCTCTAAACAAACCGTGGGGTTGCAGCAAACTGCTGAGCATTCAACAGTAACACAAACTTGTCCGTTGCTAGACATTACTAGTAATTTGTCTTTAAGCAAAATAAATCCATCAGCTTACCAGAAAACTGAGCACAACGGGGATTTCTTTATATTGAACGCACTGAAACGTAAAATCTTATCAACTCATCAGAAGTTGTATCATAGAACAAAAGTTTAGAAAAAAAACCCTGCGAGCAGGAAAAATTCACACCAAATAACTGATACTGAGCACGTGTTGTGTAGTAAAAATGGCAGGTTAAAAATTTTTGCTTAAGCAGTGATGTTGGCTTTGCGTAATTCTGATCAAGAGCTATCAGTAGATTTATAGCATTGATAATAACATGTTCAATTTGGGCCTCGTTGCTTTTGCTCGGTGAAGGATGGACCCGAAGTAGCATCGTTCATAGAACAGTTCTAGGGAGGAAAGACTTGAAGAAACAGAATAGTATAAATTTTGGATTTTCCCAAGCAGTCGACTGATCAGAAAAGCATCATTCCTTTTGAATTGTGACCTATTATGATAAACCTTTCCCGGCGGATCACTTAGCCATCAATTGTTCTTTTCCAGTCTATTGGCATGATTGATAGTGAAAGAACAATCCTGTTCTGGAGATTTCTCGGCTCAAGGACGTTTTTATTGTTTGGCCGCTAATCTAATTAGTGCAAAATCCTGAGGACGAAAAACAAAAACAGCTCTCCTTCATCCGATCAATTTATCCAAATCACTTTACTTGTGCTAGATGTTTATGGTTAGTTAATTATCAGGCCCCCGGTGAGTTTTCAAAAGTAATTAACTTGCAGGGTCTACCTGTCTGAGCGAATAACTTGCCAAAGAAAAACTTACTTTGGAGGATTTCAATTCCTCCGCAAGTCCATTGTGTATTTCCACTGTTTACAGTTAAGCCGTACGCCAACTTCAATGCTGACGCAAACGACCCTTGTTTCTAATGTATCCATTAAAATTTGCTCAACCCTCGTTAGACAATATGCCTTCGGTGGCCGATGTTTCGCATGAAGGGAATTTTAGCGACACGTGATTATAAGTTCGCATAAAATTTATAGACCCATCGCCAAAGTAATTTGAATATACATGTAATCTCATTCACATATCGTTCAATGAGTCGGGCAAACGAATCAAATCGCTCAAGTGTGAACACGTTCGCCGGTTCAGACGTGAAGATTCAGATGCGTCAAACTTGCGTTGGTGGAGTAGTGGCTACACGCTGGTTTCGCATGTCAGGTGTTTGGGGTTAAAATCCCTGCACGGCCACTGGACATGCACTGCTGATGAGCTCTAATAAGAGCTTAACTCGAGTCCAGTGCTTTGGACTCACCGGAATAATTACACCAGAACAGGAGGACGATCGTTCAAGCAAGAGCGGTGTGACTATGAACAAAAATAAAATCATAATCATAAAAGATGCATAACTATACATAAATGAAATAAAAACAACATAAGCTAAGATAAAAATAAAAAGTAGCCGAAATGCGCAACCTGTCCAGTTAGCGCAGATAGGCTTATGTGACGACTGCGAAAAGCAAATCAGTCGTTGGGGAGATTTCCAATGTATCAAACCTCACTTTAAACGACGATATGGACCACTGATTGCATGTATCCCTCAACGCCACAAAGTTTAAAAATTGATACCAGAAATCCACCGATATTACATGAATTTAGCGAGTTTCACTCCATCGGGTGTGAGGATGAAACTAGCGCATCTTTTCGTAACGCACACCTCAAATTTGGATTTCGCCTTCAGTTTGACCACCCTTACGACGGAGACTGCGAAACCCACGGTAATTGACCAAGCTTCTAGAAAAACGTATTATCTGAATTCATCGAACAAAACTGCATATTCGCCCCTCTGGACTAGTGAAAGACTTTGCACATAATGTGTGAGAGTTGAACTGGTTGACTGATATTCTACCCGGCGTTATTTCCCTTGGGAAAAATAAGACGGACGTACCCAGTGAAATCTTGACGCTTCGATAACAACAATCTTACTAACATACAGTGAGCGAGCTCTGCTCAGTTAATAAAGATTTTGTTCACTATATCCAAACGGGAAAATTTTTTCCTTGGATTTCCATAAGTTTGGTACCATAGGTTAGTAGTTTTGAGTCTCGTTTGATTTGTCCTCTGATTAGTTCAGGCGGAATGAAATACCAGTAAATGTTACGATGAGAACAAAAGTGATAAAGAAAGCTTGTTTTCACTAATTATTCACCATGTTTGGCACTTGAAACATTCTTGTGCGTGGATTTAGGAAGTGCTTGACAGACAAATTACTTGAACATGATATTCAGACAAGTTTTGAATGAATTATAATTTTGCGGGTCCACGAGTTTCACTGAAGCCTGTAAAAATATCACTCAAAAAAGTAACGATAATGAAACATTGTTAATGGTATTCGGCTGATTATTTTAATGAACCGGATAGTGTTCTAATGTCTGTTAGATCTCTTGGTTACACAAGTGGGGTGGACACATCTTCCGGATTTCAAACGACTTTAACTCATTGATTTTCCAAGAAAACTAGTACTTCACACACGAGGGCTGGAAATGCTGCATATTCTTGGTCCATTTGTGAGCCCATTCGCACTATATGAAAACGGTCTTTGTGTTCTATATTTCTGGAAGTGGACGGCAACCTCCAACCCTACAGGCAGTTTACACCGACCACACGATCAAGGCACCAGTGAAATATATGCTAGACCTACAGTCATCTTTAGGTTGCTCTGATGAATCACTAAACGGTCAGAAAATCCCAATGAATTGACTGCACATTTGAATCAGTAGTAAACACGTTTGGCAGAATTATCGGGGCCATTACTTCGTGGTTCGTTAACTTGACACATCCCTTACAGTGATACGTCGTTAAGGTTAGGTTTGATCTCCAAAACTTTCTACCTACTCACAAATGACCAGTAGCTAAACCACAGTACCAAGACGATAATACCTCTTGCGGAGTTGGAACACCATCAGGAGGAGCCTGAGATGCTTTCTCGTTGGCATGTCAGAGGTCTTTAAGAACCCGTTTGGGAAACTTTTCGCTGAGGTAATGAGGCTGCTTTTGCATGAAGTTATTTTCGCACAGCTTTCTCGGAGATGGTGCAGTTTTCCACGTTTCCACAGTAAAAATGACGTTGATGTCTGGTATATTTGATCTATCTAACTCAACTCGACGGCCTTTAGTTCTCCTTTTAGTTGGTATGAATCAGCCAATCAAAGAACCATAAATAAGGCCCCACTTGTCTCTTAGAGGTGTTAGCTTTTGGGAAGGCATAGCCGGGAGTAGAATTACATGCCTCTATAACCCTCTCCCAGTTAGGTGAGGTTACTCTTACAGGGTTAGTTCCAAGGAAATGAACGAAATCTGCAAAATAACTGGTAGTGTCAGCAATCCTCAGTGTGCACGTTTTCTTACAAATATGTGCGGACTACGCAGTAGGCCATCAGGCCTTTGTCATGGCCCTCAATACATTGACAGTTAAAGTAGTACCATACCGTTTAAGTAGTATTATTCCAGAAAAGCATATATCCCCCACATTGGCTGACCTTAGCCATATATATATATATATATATATATATATATATATATATATATATTTATGTGTAG